AAAAAAAATAAAAAAACAAAACAAAGAAAAACCCAATATCAACAGCAAAACTGCAATTCTTACATTTTCAGATGTTACAAAGCCACTAAGGCTAGAAACTTATAATATGCAATATCAAGCATGTAACCTGGGCCATGTGATACACAGCACAGATATTCTAGAACAAGATGCTAAAATAAATCAAACAGTTTTTAAAAAGTTAAATGTTCCAACAAAAACAAACAGGAAAAATAAAAATGTATTTAAGACCTGTAATCATTTTATAGCACCCAACTGCATAAAGTTTAGAATTCAGGATCAGTTATCTTGCTGTAGAGTTGCATAGACTTTTAGAAGGCACCTGACAGCACAGCAAAATGTTACATACATATATCCACAAGCACATTTCCATTCACAATCTTGCCGTCAATTATTGTGACTTTCACAATCCTCCACCTATGAAATGTTTTAGATTTCTCTCTTTGTGGGTCTGGCTTTTGCGAAACAGCTTAACACTTCTTTTTTTTTTATCACACACTATGTGCTTCCTGCCATGAGACAATTACAGGAGATGATTTCACTGATCATACAATTAGCTCACCACACCCACCCATCATCCACTACACAAAAACAACCCACTCATCTTTCTCTCTCTTTTATTCCTTACTTTCTCCACCCTTTAGAGCTGTATATTATTTCCCTTTGCAAAGAGGAGAAACAATAATGGACTCTGTGCAAAGAAACCTGAATAGTCTTTTCCTTTACAGGTAGGTCTATGTACAACCAGTTTTACATCACACTCTTTCACAACAAATTGTTCAAATTAATTGAAAGTTATTAATATACGAAGCCTATGATATTGAACTTTTTTATCAGTAAAGCAAGCTGAGGTTATGAATAATCCAGGTCTCACATTTACTTCAACAGATGTTTCAAATCCTTCAGTGGTGGATAAACAGATATATATATATATAATATTTCATTCTGTGTAGATTAGAAAGCAGGCACACATACACTCATTACTGTTGTTCAAGACATTCCCCTTTTTTCATTCTTTCATTCCCATGCACACAAATGTAAGTTATATATTCACATATTAAAATCCTCACTGACAAATTAAGATGATAGCATTTTAAAAACCAATTTGAGAGTACCGTCTATGCATGAAATGAAAACAAACAGTAAACAACATGACAGCTGTCAGAAAAATGTATTGAACAAAGCCAAGAAACTTACATGAACAACTGTTAGACAAACCTTTGATCACAAAGGTAGCAATTGCAGCCACTTCTCATTATCCATGTGAGCAATCAATGATGTATCTAAGTGTGAGTGATGTACAGGTCCAATTTTCATATGTTGTCACAATTAGAATCAACTACATGTAGCTAAGTAAAGAGCAACTTAATGGCTGCGTGTATATGGTCATAGTGCTGGGAGACAAATAGGATTGAATAATCCTATCAAAGGTAAATAAACAAATGAACTTGATGGGCAACGGAAAAGCAACATATGAAATTAGAAACATTTGAAAGAAGTAATGTGGAAGGACGCAGAAGCAAGAAACCACTGAAACGTGATCAGGTAAATCACGACCCACTCTGCTTTTGAATGAAAACTATTACATTTTCTTCTCAATGATATATCATCTAGGCTACATCACTTTTCTTTTCATACTTGTAGGCCTACCTGTTTATGACACAATGTGTGGATGTATGTAGTGAGGAAATAAAAGAAAATAACAAGAAAAATGAAATACATTATCTATCAAAAGATATTTGATTGCAAAAAAGTAAATATTTTTCAAAGCTTAAACACGCATGTATGGCTTTTTTTCTTTTTTAATATTCTTAGACCTTTTATTTATTCTGTGTGATGAGTGTCTGGGATGTAACAATGGCAGCGCAGTGAAATGCAGTTGCTTTTTAAGCTTAAGTAATTCTCAACATATCCACATCCAGACTCTGTACAAACATATTACGGTACATGAAAGACAGTAAATACAAGCATATCACAATAAGCAATATTGTTTCTTCCTCTTAGTTCCAACCATGAAACATAACATAATGAAGACAAGTCATAAATATTGGGAAAATTCTTGAGAAAACCCAAGAAAGGGCCAGTCTGGAGAGACCATCAGCTTTTCCTTTCATCTGTGAAATATGGTACACTTAATTTAGCACATGGATCATGCAGGGCTAATCAGCTTACTCAACCCTTTCAGTGCTGTCTGCTGCCTGCTTCCCACAGCCCCCCCCCCCCCCCCCCCGTCCTGCAAACAAATTGTTTTAAAATTGAAAATTGATAATGAATAATCAAAAGAAAACTACACTTGACAAAACTAAAAGGACAAGAAACTAAATCCAAGCAATCCAGGCAATAATGGTGATACAATATTGTGAACTGGATGTATTATAAAAGAAATACTTATTTCCTATATATACTGAATGTTTTGGAAAAAGAATTCAGTGTCCACCAGAGACATTTCACTTGATATATTTTCCTTTTAGGCTATTTAAAAAAAAAGAAAGTCTATCTTTCAAAACTTACTGCTAAAGAGAAAGGATAAGGTGAGGTTAAGACTACCGATGATGGTCTTAAAAGAAGGGTTAATTGGAACACAATTGTGGAAGTTGTGGATGGTATTTTGTGTGAACACAGAGCACAAACCATTTTAACTAGATTCTAGATTTAAAATATTTAATGTTATAAGATACTGAGAAAAAGGAATTGAACAATCTGACTAAAAACACAATAATAATAAATTGGGTTATAATGCATCATACTTCATACAGTTATAAAACTATATACCATTGGATATTTATACCATACTCTTTCAACAGCATCTTGCTGTCTCTCATTCTCTATCTTCCATTTAATAGTTCTCTGTCTCACGCTTCTCTCAAAGCAAAGTAGCATTCACTTTTCGAAATACACTTTGGTCATTGCAGACAATAGTTCATTTTTAATATGAAGTTGCTTCACAAATTGTAACCCCAGTCACAACAACTGAAACTAGTCAACATCCATATCATCAAACCAACAGGATTCTGTATCTCAAATAAATCTTTTTGACACCAAACTGTTATTCTTTAGGGCCTGATGGATACAAGAGACAATTTTCCTACCTTTTGTCCTCTCAATCACACTTTCACTCTGTATGATCATTGGAGGAATAAAACGAAAATAAGTGGATAGCTGGGGTAAGAACACGTATGAAAATAAAAAAACCCCAAAAAAACCCAACCCCAAATTCATCCATCTATGTATGTTTCCATGCAATCTGCTACCTGTAGCCCACGAGGGAATGTGCACATATGGAAATGCATATGAGTACCGTACAACACAGAGTTAAAAAACCCCCAGAACGTTGATGTATCCTCTTTTAGAATAAAATGTACAATAGCAATGGCCACTGGAAACTCATCACCTGCAGGCTTACAACTTCGCAATCTAATTATTTTAAAAAGTACTACTTTCACTTCTCATGCATGAATATATGATTATTTATGACTATGTAGTACTACACGTACAATTAAAAAATCTCTGCATCTAGAATACGCACATTTGATGATGCAATCACATTTTGTTCGGGCAAAAAGAAAAGATAATCTAATTCTACACATTAAAAAAATGTAAATTGCACTAAATATGCAAACCTATATATGAATATACTTTTAAAATATTCCAGTACTTGTAAATCATATTGACCAATAAATCACAACCTTTTTCAGAAAGCAAAAAATGGAAACTCAGTGGTACATGGCTAATGTGTCAGTGTCTTTTATAACAATAGTATTGATTACATTGAAATAAAAGTCTAAAGCTGAGAAGAAAGTGAAAACATTTTTGTTTTCATTAACTTCCAGGACATTTGGTCTAATATTGAAATATGCACGGAGAAATGAAAAAATAAACAAACAAGATTATTTTTAAAGAGGTGAAATTTGCCTATTCCACACATCCTCCGCATCACTTCCCTTCCAGAAACAGTTAGAAGAAAATAACATTCTCATTAGTTACAAAGGAATTGCACACATTATGAATATCCAAGATATACATGCACAGCAACTGTTTATGGAAGGATGCATATCATAAAGCTGCAATCATTAAAAAACCCAAAATAAAACAACCCCAAAACAGTGACAAAATAAAAACACCTCACATTTGTTCTGTTCATTGTAACCCCAGCAGAAGAATTGAGAGTTCTGTTCCAGTAAAGTAACTCCGATCACTAAACAAAAATTATATCTCAATTATTTAAGCTATTGATGTGGAGTACTGTTTACTATTCCCCAACATTTCTACACATGTTCCCGTTGTAAGCATAATGTGATTAATATGACTGACAACAAGATGCTTGACAAGGATATAGTTTAAAAGAGATGCAATTCCAATAAATTGTACTGCAGAAATCCACATTTTCATTCTCCTTCACCTCGAGCATTTACAAGATGGTGAAATTGTGTCCAGATAGGAAAGACAATTAAAAAGCAAGCTCATGCATTTTACCTTTGCACTTACTAGACAATAATAGCAAATAAGACCCAAATGAATAAGACACATAGGCCCTACAGTCGAAAACACACCGAGAAGCGTTGGTCAAGTAGAAATTTATGTAATAAAACATGCTGATATTGTGCTCTTGTATGCTAATGATAAAAATAAGGGTATCATGGTATACCCTGATCATTTACTCTTTCCAATACATTATAACAAACGCACAGGTGACAATTTTTTAAAAAGCTGTCCCATCATCTTACTCAAATATTTCTCATAAAAACATTTAATAAATTCCAAAATTAAGCTCTAAACCAATTCAGTCTTGCAGAAACAAACATTGTACAAAAGCAGAGTGAAAGTGTCGAATGCCCTAGAATATGTGTATTGAAGTTTTTGTAATCGAAAGTGAGCAATCTATGTCATGGAGATGTGCTACGCAGCATTGGTTGACTTGTTCTTTGCAGTTTCTCGGCACCCGAGCTTGTTCTTTACATTTTTTCAGCACCAGAGATTTTTTCCGTTGTCTCACTTAGGGTATCCTACAGTCCCAAGAAGTCAAGATGCCCACATGATGTATACATGTGTACTCGTCACTGCTGAAGCAGACCGGGAGTTGGTGGTCTTGTTTTGCTGAGATGACTTTCGTCTTCATTCACTTTACACTTTACTGAACTTCAAGCCAGCTGGAAGAGAAAGAGGAACACAATTCAAAACACCACTCTGTTGACTAAAGGGGAACTTAATGTTATTCCTAAAGAAAAAACACCCTAATACCTTAGAAATCAATTTGAACGGCAAATCAAAAAATGCATATAAATAGGCTTAACTGTTGTCAATTGAAAACAAATGCACAATAACTTATAACTTGGTAAAACTGTTTCATAATAATACATAAATAGACCAGACACTTTTGAAAACATTCATTTCATCCAGAATTTTTTTTATGACAGGGCATACCAGTACTTACAACAGATTTATATAAACAATCTAACAGATTTCACAATATGTCTATGATATAACAGAAATTGTACAAAAGTTAATTGTTTTAAAGAGTTCCATTGTCAAAAGAAATCTTGTTGTAAACTAGCAATGACAATGGTTTAGAAAAGACATTAAAAAAAAAGAAACACAAAAAAGAACTTCCAAAACAACACCAAAAAGCAAAACCCGCAAACTCAGGCAAAACAAAACTAGGGACCCATGAACCCTGAAAACAACATAGAAAAAAAAACGTAAGAAGGAAACACTAAGAGAAACAGAGTCCAGCATGCTCAATCAATAGAAAAACGAGAAGGAACTAAAACTGAAGGGAAAACAAACAGCTACTCAAAACTACATTCCTAAACACAACATATAATACGACTGTTAGAGGGGCTTACTCACATTCAACATAGAGCAACAGAATCACAAATAAAGGAAAGAACGTTTTGTTTCGATCAAGTTGTCTAAAAGCTTTGGACAAAGGAAAAAACAACCTGCAAGTATCACATAACCATGCAGACATCATATGTTGACCTACAGATGCAGATGTCAAAGTAACTATTACTAGTAACCCGCATAATTGTTATTTAAGTTTTCAAAAACTAGGCCTATTAGTAAAATCCTGTTCATTTATTTTGTTTCAACAAATAGAGGAAAAAAGTATGTACAAGCTACAGAGGTTTAGAATAAATGAAAATAAGCATTGAACTTTGTTTTTTTAAGAGGAAAGAAAAGACCTGTCTACAGGAACTGTTGCAGAGTTGTTCTGTATAGTTTTATAATCATTGATACCTTGATAGGGAATAAGAAGAAAGACTCCCATTCCTGGCAAGCATGCAAATAGCCATCGCTTCCATGAACAAATGCTGTTTTAAGGCCAATAAAAACTCTGTCCATTCTAGTTTTCAAAGTCATGCAATAACAATAACAAGTTTTCAACAGCTTTCTGACAAACAGACGCAACGTCAATCTAAAACTGATTGCACCACATGAACAGACTAGCACACGTAGCACATCTACATCTTCTAGAATTATACAGATGCAACTTCAAGAAACAGGCACACATTCCCTTTGGCAAACTGCAAACATTCCACAAGATCTGTAGTGGTGATATATATATATAGAAATGCTTTTGCAATACACAATGATGTGTTCATGCTCTGAAAAATTCTCCACATACCATTAGTAGAAGTGTATGAAAGCTGAAATTACAATTATATTTGAATTTATAATTGAAATAAAAAAAAAAAAAAAAGAAACCAAAAAAATATAAAAAATAACACAAATGGAAAGAACTGACAAACTGTTAATAATAGTATAAAGCAAGGCAAAATCCAATTATAAATAATTGTTAATGGGACACACGTGTGAGTGCCTTGTTTTATTTAATCAGATGTGCTTTTAAAACATTAGTCCAAACTTGCAGGTGTAAACCATTGATGCTATATTCAATAAACATCAGTGGCAAAAGTCTTTTAAGTCTGATCTTTACCACTGAACTGTTGTGTGCAAGTAAATCGTGTTCTTTGAGTGGAAGAAGAGTGTGTGCCTGAATTCACATTCTACACCCATATTAAAGAAACAACAAAATAAGCGACTGGGGTTTCGTGGAGATATGAGTTACTTGCATTTTCTGACTGCGGTAAATTCTATGGCCAATCCTCATGCCTGTGTAGAAAATCATTGGTTTAAAAAGTCACCAGCGCTTTCAGCTACCAGGATGACAACATGGAAAAATCCAAACTACAAGGTTGTAGATTAGTAGCACATATACACTGTCACAGACAGAACAGCTCAATCATACTTGTGGGGGAACTGAAACCACTTAACCTTACAAAGTAAGTGTTTGTACAAACATAAATATTACAGTGACTTTTATACCATTCTCTAAAAATAACTGAAAAGTTGTAAGTACTCTATATTTTTTTCAAGCAAAAGTTTAAAGATTTTTCCATAACAACAGACCTAAGACGGCTACATAATATTATTATCTACTGCTGAATTGTGTAAAACATGATCCAGAGAATTAAAAGAAAAAAAAGTATTTTTCATTAATGGGAAAGGATAGCAGAGTGGGAGTTAACCCTGCAAACTGATGAGAATCTCTCAACGTCTAAAACTCACATACTTTATAAACACGCACAAACACAGACACACACAGACACAGACACAGACACACACACACAAACACACACACACACGCACATGCACACACACACACACATACACATATATACACACACACACACACACACATGCACACACATACACATATATACACACACACACTATTCACAACTTTATTCTACATGAAGTGCTGTACACTATTCTACTCTGTGAACCTAAAATATGCACCAGCTTAATAAATATTATTAAAGTAGAAAAATCTCTACTAAAGGTCACAATCACAGCACAAGGAAAAACAGAGCAATAATCGTGATTACAAAGACGAAGATTTTAGCACATTAATAGACTCGTATAGTTTGAGAATGAGTAGTTCGGCAAGTTACTTTTAAAAAGATAAATACGATATCACGTCCTTTGTTATTGTGCAGTATGTTGTGATCATGCTTAAGATTACATAAAATTACTAGGACTACAGTGTGTGTTACTTTCTCTAAGTGTACAACAATCCAAGTATTCTCCCAAACCCGATAAACAGCTCAATATAATTCTTTAAAAAAACACCAAGAAATTATGGCGTCAATAAAAATGCACCTAACTTTGCTATAGACACTATGTCATGCACCTGGATGGTTAGAAAGCAAACATCAAATGAAAGACTTACCTTCGTCATTGCTGTAGCAGTTGGGACAGTGAAGCTTGTTCGCCCGGACTCGGACGTCAGCGCCATGAGCGCCAGTTCCTAGAGACGCGTGACAGACACAGCAGCGGAAACACTGGACGTGGTAGTACAGACCCAGGGACTCGATCACCATTGCAGCTCCGAAACCTTTGGCATAAAAGAATCAAGGCATTAGAATGGTTAATGAAAAAAATCCCCTGCTCTCATATATCAAATTCTATCAAGCTGGAGGTAAGAGATGTCAAGATAAATGACCAACAAAATTCATCAAGAAGAAAATGTTCACTCAAAGAAAATTTTAACCGTTTTTGTATGCTGTGAACTGAAAGGTCTATTTCATCCATGACAACCACAAGCATTTGGTGACGAGAAAATTGAGATTTCATCAAAATTGAGAAAAAAAAGGACAATGCACATGAGATTACTGACCCCACTGATCATCCTCCTGAATAGGAAAAATAGATAGTACCAGAATAAGTCAGAGGATTGGTTTGCATTAATGGCTACCATTAGACCTGTTAACAATTAAGTCTGGTGAGGGGATATATTGCCAGTGGCATAAAAGGGTTACGGATATATATGATAACAATAAATATGAAAAAGCAAAACAAAACAAAAAATAGTTTTATGAAATGGAAAAACAAAACCATACAAATAGAAATCAATCTAAAAATAAAAGAACATTTTTTTTTTACATTAAAATCATTGACTCTAATTTATGCTTTTAATATATAGCAATTGCCCAGAGTAATAGACTTCACGACTGACAAACAGGTTGTGATACTGTGAGCAACAACAGTAGTACTCCTCAAATCAGATTTTAAGAATGATCTTTCTTTCTTTCTTAGGAATGACAACAGTCAAGCTTTTCTTATTGTCAACAGTAATCGTTCCTCTTCTTTCTCAATAAGAAAATATCTTACCCAGCTCTTGATTGCAGTGTGAACACAGCTGAGTTCCACTCACAGCTGATCCATTCTCTCCTGGGGGTGGAGGAGCGGGGTTTGGGGGAGGAGCTTGAGGTGGAAAGTGTTTTGATTGGTTCTGATTTGATATATAACCAGGGTGCTGCTGCAGCTGCTGCTGATGTGAATGTGGTGAGGGCTGATGATGATGTGGTGAGAAGGCGGGCTGATGATAGGTCCGGTCTTGATTATAGTACATCGCATCTGGATTTGAGAAAGATGGAGAATGTCCCTGCTCCGGCTGATAAGATGGATCAATTGCGTTTGTAGGCCCACGAGCTCCAGCTGTCTTCTGAAGCAAAGTCTGTCTGATGGCTGCAGGCATTGAAGCATTTGGTCTGCCAGCATCAGCATGGGACTGACTGCGATCTCCTCCATACCCGTTATTATCTCTCCACCTGTTGTTTACATCACCTGCAGGTTTGATGGGTCCAGAATATTGTCCTGTGGGGGATGGTCCTCTGTTGATGGGTTTGTTAGGGTTTAGACGACCTTCAGACTCTGCGATTCTACGCCGTTCAGCCTCTTGGACAAGCCAGTGGTCTTGAGGACCACTTAAGAGAAGACGGCCACTGCCACCGCCTCTCTCCTTAGCTGCATTCCAGGGAGCCTGGTAACCCTTTTGCTGTGGCTCTTGGATCTGTTGTTGTGGTGGCTGCTGTTGTCTGGGAGAATTTTGCACACCCGGAGACCTCGGGGATGTACCGTACCACTCACTGTCATCGCGTAGCTTGGCTCGAGGAGCAGAATTTAGAGAAATTATTTCACCTCTTGAAGGAGCTTCTCTTGTAATGGGCACAGTAGAGTCAGAGTAAGGATCATTGCTGTGGTTTTCCTGGGGGACTGTGGGGGAGGTCTGTAAAGGTGTAGCTTTCCTGTTCATAGCGAGCATTTCATCCCTGGAAAAGCGTTTTCCACCCCGAGGATCAACATCTTTGATTGAGCTGCTGCTATTGTCCTGAGGAGGCCACCGAGGCAAACTGGGAGCGTTACTGTCTACCCTGTCCGACTGCCACTTTGGGGAGGGCTGGGGCTGCGAGTAAGAAGGCACGGTATGATGCACAGAGGACACACTGGTCGAATTTTGATATGGTCGAGATGATGATGCTGATGATGATGGATAGCTTGCTGATGAATTATTCTGAGACTGAGAGAAACCGTGGTTTTCTCTTGGAGTTCTCTGGGGGTTGAAAGGCACAGGGGCATAAGCACTATTTGGACTTCTTTCGCGTTGGTTTGGTGCTCTTTGGAATCGGTCAGGGCTGTCATTCGATCTCGGAGTCAACACTTCTCTCTGCTGTTGAACGGGGTAATAAGTTTGCTGCACAGGTGGCTGCACTTGCTCTTGCTGCTGCTGCTGTAACTGTTGCTCTCTGAGCCTTTTAAATTCTTCTTGTTCCTTGAGAAATTGTTCTCTTTGCTTACGCAACATCTCCTGTAAAAGTGAAACGAAAATGAAAAATTTACATACACTTACCTAGTTCAAGTAAAGAGAATATTTCATACATTGCAAATGCCTCGGTTCCAAAGACCAAGTGTATTCAAAACCATCCGCTACATAATAATGTCTGTATAAAAAATCTCAATATTATAATATACCTTAACTTATGCAGCATGATTTGAAAAAGAATAGAATAGAAGAGAAAAGTCACTTTCACAATGCATCTGTGTATAAGTTCCACAAGTGTCTGTGACAAAGAACATTCTTTGGTGAAGAGAAAAAGGAGATAAAACACACCTTCAAAGTTATATACAAAATACTCCTCTAACACAGAAAAATATTATTGACTTTGATGATTCTTGGAAAGTTGACCAACAGCCATTATTATTGTTGAATTTTGATGAATTTATAAACCAATAAACAAAAGCAGGCCTCTGAATGTGCTAAATGTAGCAAAAAGTAAAAGCTACCACGCTACACGGTACACTTTAAGGATTTCTCGGAGAGTCAAGCCATCAATCCTGATGTTTTTCTGTTCTTATTTTCCTAAGATAATGAGTACAGTCATGTATTGTCATTTCAGAAGTTCCAAGAATACATATAGGCTACCTTCATAAGAAAAACTTAGTGCAAAGGCAAAACTTTTTTTCTGCCAAGAATTACATTGACCTTGCTGAAATATCCTGTTCATGAAAGGCCATTTTCAACATTAGAAAAGAGTAGAATTTTTTACAGAGTTCCAAAGGAAAGAATTAGCAAAAAAATTTGAAAACTCTAAGGATTATCTTTAATTATCCACCTACCTCTTGCTGAAGCAACTGCTCCTCTTTTTCTCTAATTTTTCTCATTTCATCTTCTCTCAGTCTTCTTTCTTCCTCTGTCTTTTGCCTTTCTTCCTCAATTTTTCTCAATTCATCTTGCCGTATTTTCTCCCTTTCTGCCTCCAGGAATGCTGCAGTGTTTTGATCTGTGATAGAAAAGAAGAGAATTTTCCCTTTTTTACCCCCTTGTGAAGCAATGCTCTGTAGTCTTCAATAAGTAAGGCACTGTCGCTAGAAGCAAAAATGTTCAACTGAACACGCCTGCACTAGCCACAGATCTCACAATTACGGTCAGAATTGTCCAAGACAGCCACTCATTGTCAGGGATAAAAGTGATTGTTTTAGAAAAGAGGATGTCTTGGACAGTGTTATTATAATATCATTATAGAGAAAAGAACAGGGGCGGGGGGGGGGGGGGGTATCTTTTGTACAGGTGATTGGCCTGGACAAGTGGTCATTAGAGCTTTAACAAAATAACGGACTAAAAAATTACGTTACGCTATTCTACAACTCAAGAACACAGATGAACTCTTGAAAATAAAGCACAATAATGGACCTCATTCTTCCTTCATCCTCACCCTCCCTTTCTAGCTTGGACAGAATCATTTTAGATATTTCATTATTACGAGGTAATAAACTTCAAGAGCTTAAAAATTACAAAATACTAATGGTTCTTTTTTCCCCATTAAATTAATATAATTTCACCAACAAAAAAAAAATCTAAATGTCACAAATGTACGTACCAACTGCTGGTGGCTGATTGGCCAGTCGAATCTGAAACTCCACTGGGTTTGCAGTGTCACTGTAAACAAAGGTAAAAACCAATGGTAAACATTGTGTCCCTGTAAGTTCAAACAATATGTTTGGAATAAATAATTCCTTCAGAGAGATGCAACAATGAAATGCTTTTTACTAGTTGGCAATGTTACATGTTGAATATATTGCTTAGCTGCAATTCTAAACCACTGGGTTTTTTTTCTGTTTCTTTCAAATAAAATAAAATCACCTCGCATTAAAAATACAAAACACACATTTTTTTACCATTAAATAAACACATGACTTTCATCTGCTTTTATGACTGATAGGCACATAAAAAAAATTGTTTCAGTAGTTCAATATTCAATTCAAAAGCTTACAAAAGAAAGATTTGAATGATGAAATATAATTTGAGACTGTGAGAGCCACACAAGGCTGTATAAGAACACCATTTTATTTTAAAACGCGGGGTTAAGATTATCTTTGGTGCTGTCTGTTCGGTGGATCCAAAATTATGGAATATGATTTGAGACAGTCAGATAAGGTGAGAAAGGAATACTATTTTATTGTTAAAATCCAGGCGTAAGAAAATAACCTGTGGCATCAGTGATCTAGTGGTTAGATTACTGGACTTGTAATCAAGAGGTTGCGGGTTCAGGGGTTTTAGCCTCAGGCCCAACGTTGTGTCCTTTTGGAAAGAAACTTAATTTAACATAATTTTGCTCACTTCACTTAGGGCGGAATGGGTACCTACCTGGCCATAGAAAGTGAAAATCTTATCAGTATGTTACTGTTTTTGCACCTATAAAATGGTATCTAACACTGCGTGCCTCCTAAGAAGTTGAGATAGTTTCAGAAAACTATCAGGTCAGCTTGGGCAATAATAATATAGATTGTAAAGTGTATAGAGCTTGTTGTTGTGCGGGAAATTGTGCTGTACAAATGCTATCTATTGTTATTATTATTATAAGATTATTGTATTACTAATATTATTATTATATTATTATTATTAAATACTTTGGGTTCTGTCTGTTCCGTGGATCTATGACAATCATTCCTCCCGTGGAGCCTGGAAGATTGAATCTGCCATTGCCTGGCTGCTGCTGCTGCTGCTGCTGCTGCTGCTGCTGCTGTTGTGGCTGTTGCTGAGGAGCTATGTTCAGAGTCATGGAAGTCACATGTGTGCTGTTGGTCTGATATGAGTTCTGATCAGGGCCTGTTGGTTGTGGTGAAGCAGCTGAGGGAAAGTCATCTCTTGCAGATGATGGCGATGATGATGGTGATGATGCTGCAGCAGCCCCCTTTTGAATTCTGGCTCGTCTTTCTGCTCTGCGTTCCTCCAAGAGCCTTGTTTTATCCATTTCTGGTTGCAGCATTTCTTCCTCCTGCAAGAGCAACGACAACTTGATGTACTCAAAGGATTAGAGTTTTTTACCATTTCAGGGACAAATATTTTCTTACAGGGGGAAGAGTTTTTTTGAAGAAAAACCAATCAACAAATCGTTTTCTAGAAACTGTTTCATAACAATAATGTACGAGAAAAAAAATAAAAATCTGTGAAATCAACTTCACTTCAAAGTAAAATAATATAATTATAGAGAAAAAAAAATACACTTTGTTCTTTGCATCTAAAGTCTATTAGATACACAAACTTCTGAAGAGAAAACAGTGTCTTAAGGCCTTAAGCATACCTGTTGTCTTCTCATTTGTTCTTTGGATTCAGCCTGTCTCAAGTCCTCCTCGTACTGGTTTCTCATTCTCTCTTGCTCCAATTGGAATTTGGCCTGAGAAATCAATAAAAAATGTAACTTACTAAACCGTTCATTGACCTTGACAAAAAAAAAGTCTTGTGATCTGGAGGATTAGTGTCGGAAAAAAATGTCTGATGGGGAAGGGAGATCTCAATCAACATGCAAGATCCAAAGGTACAAGAAAAAGAGGCCTACAATAATCATCATGCTTGCAAGAACACTATGACTGAATCATCAAACATATTGTAGACATTTTGACAGGAATAATAGTGTGTTTAATATTGCTATGAGTTTCAAGGAAATCATTTGGTTCAACTTACAGATTTTTCACCTGATGGGAGCTTTTAACTATGAAAGTACTGGTCTAAAAGTAAACATAGGCTATACTGAGAGAAAAATGAAAGTTGAAGATTAATGAAATCGTTCTATTGGTTAATAATGGTGCCAAAATACAAGCTTTACATTTTTCTTTGTCATAGTTTTCAGATTTCGAAACAAACTAAACAGCTTCCCTAATGAGAGCAAGGCATGTTCATTAGGCTACAAGTAAATGACAATTACTGAACTTGAAAAAGTTTGACTATGTTTAGATAAGAAATTGTAATGAAACTGGACATATCTCATCTCATCACAGCCTTTAACGCCTGGAGACAAAAGCTGTAACAAAAAATAATAGCATTTTCTAACTACACTTCATATATTTGGAATTTCGTGCCAAAACTTTATGAGGGGTCTGAACATGTCAAAATGCAAAACAGTGTTTTATAAAAATTCCTCCTGTTTAAGATTAATTTGGAAGTTTTGAGATCCTTGGTAGCCCATCGATGCATTGTAACAAGTCATCTCTGTTATACTTTTTTGAATATCTGGGTCCTCAATTCTCTTCTCAGTGCAGATGTGGAAAAGGCCTACACTTGATCTCATTTTGTAGATGAGTAGTTGCTTAAAATTATCTTAATTTTTAAAAAGTTATGCACATTGTTTAGAGCTACATTGAGATGGTGGCATTAAGAATAACCCCATTATTATTATGGCTGTTATTCTTATTATTTTTATTGTTGATATGATTAATTATATTATCTTTTATATCATTTTTATCAGAAGTATCAATATCTTTCATGAAACAATACTTTGAATAATTAATGACATAGTTCAGCAAATTAAAAAAACAGGAAGGAAATCACAATTTCATTAAAAAAATTATTAGTGTCTGAGTACAAAGTACAATAAAAAAAAATGAAAACAGATAAATCAAAATGCACCAAGTTTATTGTTCTTATTACCTCTGTGACTGTATCGCTTCTGCCATCCACAGCTGTCCCTAGAGGCTGTTGGTAAAACAAAAATAATCACAACATGAACATGCAGGGTCTCTTCACTACAAGGTAAGGGCCAAGCATATTTTAATGTAAGAAAACTATTTCATGCTGAGGCTGCAGTCTTTTAGTTATAGAACAAGTTTTACATGACTTGCAACACAAATAGGTCATATAAGTGTGGAAGATTAGAGGTGTTACAAAAAGAGAAACACCCAAAGAATGAAGGAGCAGAGATAAAGACTAAGATAGGCCTACAGATGTTTGCTAGGAAAGAAGGAATAAACAACACCAGAGCACCCGCCAACCACCCACACTGCATTCTGTAGGGAAAAAACTCCACAACCAATGGGCCTAACGCAATTAAATACAGAATAAGAATAACACAACCAATACATTTTTAGTCAAAAGAAAATTCTGCACTCCCTTTTGAAATTGTTACGAACTTTGCATCTCTGATTTAAACTTAAATAATGAAGTGGCAGGTAAAATGAAACACTTTTGTTTAGCTTTAAAATAAAAAACCCCCAGCAGCACAGACGACTAAGCAATAAAAGTGTCAAGGCACTCCAATTAAGGATTCTGAGTTTTGTGAGCCCTATATCACTAACTTCACCAAACATACGTGGTACCTAGGCTATATTTGCGACCTTTCTGTGGTATACCTGTGGGCTTTTCAAAGTGGTAAAAAAAATAATCTAGTATGCACATAGTGAACATACACATAGAGAAACATGCACTTAGCAGACAGGTTTTCAGGTCCTGATTTTCTTCTACTGATGAAATACTTGTATTTCTTTGTATTTAAAGAATGTACGTAGTGAAATTCATACATAACAAAAAGATTTCTGTGTTCTATTGATTTCATTTTGTGTGTGTTAGACTGTATTTCATGAGCATGCCGACTACTAATCCACTTGCAAGCAAAATAGTGTTATATCTTCGTAATCTCCTTTTGTTCATCCTTCTTTTTCCAAGCCTTTTATCTCAATGCATTCGCTTATACTACAACAGTCTCACACTGCACTCAACTCCCTCAAAACTGAGAACCCATTTACTTTCAACTCCAAATGAAGGAAGCATCACTTGAAAATAAAACTTAACTATGGTCAGGAGAACACTACAATGATCCAGTTCAAATCAAACATAAAATAAATGGACATATCTTCCAGATAATCACTCCTTCACATCAACCCCCCCCCCCCTCCTCCCCCACCCTTTCCCCCATGCAGGGTTATACTGGATACAAACAACTTCAAAAACAAGACACAAGTCGCAAGTTCCCCCCCCCCCCCCCCCCACTCATAAATTCATTTACACATAATATCGTAAAGGGGTAGACCTGGACAGCTTATTTGAACAGATAGGGAAAGAAAGACAAGGATAATGATTTAGCTTTTCTTTTAAGAGCACCCGAGCAAAGAAATGAATGGTGAACCACGATCGGCAATGTGTGTATCTTGTATCAGATGATGAATGGCCACCTTAGAATTACAAAGTTCCATCAGACATTTCTGGCCCTTTTGAGTTACCTATAAGACCATGAGGTCGGAAACCAAATTTTAATGTTTTATCTGCTTTATCAAAATCGTAAAAATATTTGTAGTCGTCATCAAGATATTAAAAAAAATGCATTAAAAAAAGCTTGACATATTGGGAATCTCAAATCTCTCAAAACTAGGTACTGAGCAGATAGATCTTTGTAATTCTAGGGTAGTGGATTGTACAGGTGAACTGCAGGTCGTCACCACAGGATTCTTTCAGCCCAGTAAATTGTTGATAGTAAAGTCGGAATTATCCAAGATGGTCACACACTGTCCAGGAGAAAAGAAGTTGTAAGTATTCATCCTGGACAGTGTCATTATAACGTAGAAAAAACGCCAGGGGAGAGAGGAATTGGCTGTTAATACAGGTTTTTGTCTTAGACAAGTGGCCACTAGAGCAGGTTCAACTGTACTTACTTTTATGTTCATAATGTGATGTGCATATCATCATATTATGTAGTTCAGTGTCAGTAGCCTATGAATGTCTGCCTATGTGTTGTTTTAATCTAAATAGCTCTATGTGTACATGTTCATGCACATGTATTTTTTTTTTAAGATTCAGATATTGTAAAGTGCCTAGAGCTGTAGGCCTACTGTTTGGGAGTTATCAGCATTATTATTAACGTTAATTTTCAAGTGGTCAGAGGAATGGATGCTACTCGTATCAACATCTTTTACCATGCGATCTTTGTCCTGGCCTTGTGTCCACTCATCCATCCCCTCATCCCAGGGCCTGCTGGTTCTAGCTGACGACACAGAGCTCTGATTCTCGCGCTCAGTCGGAGCTGTAGGAAAACAGAGAGGTGAATTTTTGTTGAAACAAACAGAAGGCAGCTAAAGTCGCAATCTGATGGACTCGTAATAAGCTTGCCAGAGATTTTAGAGAGCTATAAATGTTTTACCGATAATAAAACTAATTGAACTAATTTAACACAACTTTGTAAATGTACATACATTTAACACACAGTTACAAATATTTAGAATAAGTGCACCAATTAATGGGATTATAGAATTACATATTATTACAATAAATACCTGTAATAGAACTGGTCTCATTGAAATGTTTCTTGAGAATACTGTAACCTTTGTAGAATAGTAAAAATATATTTACTGACATGCTGTCCTTAAACCCTTACAGGCCACACTAGAAAAAGTGCTGTAATCTTCCCTTTTTATGGTTTAATATAACTATAATCTGTAGTTTAATAATTAGGTTCTCTGTCGACGCACGCAGAAGATATGACTTCTATTCCTGAATGGGTTGAGATTTCTTTAAAAGCACAATATCCATCTATCTGTGTTCTGGCATGTTGTATCCCACAATGTCTAGGTTGGCACTGGCAGGCAGGGTCTATCTAGCTCACTTTGTAAGCGATCAAAATTGCATTGATGAGGTGTAAAAACATTTATTTTCATTTACTGTAAAAGCACCATCTTTTGATGAATTAAAGTCTCTTTTTGGTAAACAGGCATTCGGGCTGATAATCATCAGGGTTGGCACTGACTGGCAGCGTCTATATAACCAACTTTTGAATAATTAATCAAAATTGTGTCAATGTGAAAAACATTCATTATCTTTTAAAATACAAGTTATAATTATAGTTGTAGAGCGCATACAGCAAGTTGTAGAGCCTGGATATGTACTATAGGCCTATAAATGAAGCTACTATTATTATCATGCTGTTATTATTCATTATTATTATTATCATTATTATTATTAGTAGTATTATTAGTATTAATTTTATTATTGTTATTATTATTATCATTATTATTATCATTATTACTATTATCATTATTATTATTGTTATCAGCTGATTATTATCATTATTATAATCGTTATTATTATTTGTAAGTGGTAAAACATTGACTATCATTTATAATACAAGGTGTGCACCTTCTTCAGAATCAAAGTCCCTCTTTGGTAAAGAGGCATTCAGGCTGATCTTCTTGTACAGAGAAGGCGAAGTGGTTGGGGGCTCATTCTCAAATGTGTACTCCTCCTTCTGTCTCTGACGCTGCCACTTCCTCAGGATTGCCGGCGGACCGTAGCTTGAGCCGTCGCTGTCCTCCTCCAGGGCGACAGACGAGCCCGGGGAGTGGGTGATGTTGGTCGGAGAAGGTGTCTCTGGGTCGTCTGTGTGGACAATGTCAAGACATTTAAGTCAGAGGCAATGGCAAGCCTATGAAATTGTTCTGTATTGGTGTAATATTGTGTACTTATGTCTGTATGTATTTATGGTTATGTGTTTTTGTATGTTTGTATGTATGTTTGTCATTGTAAATCAAATTGTTCTTTCGGGATCGATTTAGATGTAATTTATATTTTAATTTTATTAAATTTTTTGCTTCAATATAAACTATTGATCATAGAGATAAAGTTTGACTTTTTAACTTGAAAAAAAAAAAAAAAGAAAGTAAAGGAAACTTTTTATACCTTTGACAGTGTCTTCCTTTTCTAATAAAGAGTCCTGTTCATATTTTTTTTTCTTAAAAATAGAAATTAAGTTCTCTCACTTTGTTTCTTGATTATCTGAAAGCTACAAACCCATAATGATAAAAAGTGTAAACACTCCGAAGACGTTTGTGCTTTTTTTACCCTTCAGAAGGAAGCTCTGACTACAGTGTAGTATTCCTCCCTTGGTCAGGGTTAGTTCATTTATTCTTTTTTTATTTTTGCCTTTTCACTTAGAAGTAAGTATGATACCGGGCATAAAATGATGCTGTCCCTTTGGTACAGACAGGCATCACAAACAGACCTTTAATTTGTTTACTTGTTTATTTGTTTATTTTCTGCTTATTGATTGATTGATTGATTGATTGTTTATCCATTCATTCATGTTTATATTTATTTATTTTAAAATTTGTAATTTAAAAACCAACATATTCATAAAATTTATTTACACTGGCTGTTAAAAATTCCAGTCATATTTACCTGTTTTCTTATTCTGTGGCCGGCTCAGGGTGATAGTCTGTCTGCTCTCTACTTCTATGTCATAGCCGGAGTTAGTGTAGGGGAGGGGCTCAGGGGGAGGGGCAATCTGAGGACAGAAAAATTGGTTTTGTTTATTATGAAGGGAGGGTTAAATGTGTAAAAGATTGGTGCACCTACACAAAATTCGAATTCATCGTTTAGAATAGTGAAAAGAAAGAGATGGAGAGAGAAAGAGAGAGAGAGAGAGAGAGAGAGAGGGAGAGAGACAGAGAGACAGAGAGACAGAGAGACAGAGAGACACCGAGAGATACAGAGAGCTAGAGAGATACGAGAAAGAAGACAGAGTAAAATTTGACGAGATACAAAGCTGACATGAAAGAATGAGCAACATTTCACACTTAATCTTTAACGAACCTCTGGCTCTCTCTGTTGCTCTTTCTTGATGCTGCTAGTGGCTCCAGCCATCTGTTGTTCCAGCCACGCCCTCTCTTCCTCTAGTTGATTCTGTAGGGAGAAGCCCTTCGGCTGGGGGGAAAGATTTGACAAGTACATGATAAACAACAGCAAAAATAATGAAAGAAAGAATATTCTTAGTACGAAAATTAGAGCTCCTTTTTTAAAAATCGAGAAACATGCTTAACCTTGCTGACATGATTATCCTTTTTGCAACAATCAATTAATTAATCAATCAACCAATCACCGAATCAATCTATCAATCAATCAATCAACCAATCAATAAATAAACCAATCAATTAAAAAAACAACGAACATAAGTTGACTGGACGCCACATTATCTTCAATGAAAATGAGTATAAAACCTTCTGCTGTCTTCAGGTACTTACAAGAACAACCACACTCTTTAAAACTACATAATATATATTATGCTGTCTATCAGAACATGTCAGTTTCAACATTTGTAAACTAACAATTAGTGGGTGGTTGGCGGGTGCTCTGGTGTGGTTTGCTTCTTCTTTCCCATGAAACATCTATCGTCCTTATCTCCCCTTCTTCTTTTTTATGTTTGTTACTCTCTTGTAACACCTTTAATCTTCTGGCACTCATATGACCTTATGCAGTTGGAAGCCGTAAAACCTCTACTTAAACTAAAACTAAACTAACAATATGAACTTAGTTAATAATTTTGAGCAAACAATCATTGTGAATCAAAGACTGAAAGCTACAAAAAATGTTATTTAAAAAAAGATAATTCAGTGCCTGTCACTTTGTTACTGCTGGCTAAAATTCATCTGATAGACTTGCAGAGATCTGAAGTTCACAGCAATTTGAGATAAAGTTCTTCTTCCTTGATAATTTTTATATATCAGTTCACCATCTTGATATACACAGGCTTACTGAGTATACTGATGGCAAGAGAATTAGGACCCTTCCCCCCCCCAAAAAAAAACCCCAAGAAAAGAAATAATCTTTCTAAGGACAATTAAAACAAGAACAAAAACAAACAAACAAAAACAAAAGACACACAACATCAACAAAAGCAAAAACAAACAACCCCCTTCCCCCCAAAAAACCCCGAACAAGCCAACCCAAAAACAAACAAATTAAACAAACTAACAAACAAACAAAGACAAAACCAAAACCAAAAAGAACAAACTAACAAATAAACGACCCTCCCACCCAAGGAAAAAAAAGATGATTTCAAATAAACCCCACGAGGAGCAGTGTTAGGCGAGTACCGCACTACGACAGTTTGTCCTGGGACAGACCCGTTTGGATTTTGAAACCTTTAAACTAGAGTGTAATGTACTGCACCTATTACGACAGGACATTCTTGTCGATTTAAGTCCCGAGCAGTTGTGAATTGGTACAAAATCGGTGGGACAGGACTATCCCAGTCCCGGGGTAATATCGTCTGTGATTATAGAGAAATATAGCCGCCTATCGCATTAGGACAAAACTGTCCCAGACTTGGTGGCGCCTGCTGTCAAGATCGTGGGGCTTGCAAGGTGTGACGTAGAATCACTTCAAAATTTGCTGCCACGCAGGATTAAACTTTGGGCACA